TGGAACAGATTCCTTCCATATGTTTGCACCGGGTTAATCTTGGCCGTCCCCTGGGCCTTTTGCCGGTCGGGTTTGCAAGGAACAGTTGCTTAGCCTTTCTTTCTGAAGGCATTTCTTTTCCTGTTCTTTTATAATTCACCAGCAAACTAATACTGTCCTGTCTATTTTATGAATTCTGCGTCTGAGCCCTGTCCGTTCACTTTGCGCTACCGAGCCATTCCATCGGCTTCATTAACATCCGATTTCATCCTACATCGTCGAAGAGGTGTGTATCTCTTGATTATGAGTTCTGTTTAACGCCATTCTGGAGATGTCATCGGTTCGTTACATTTATCATCGGGCAGAATCAGTCAGAATCTCCATTTCGAGTTATCTACATCATTTATGCAAATAGGGTTCCCGGGCAATGCAGATATGTATACCTGTTCTTTTTTACATTGTAGAGTATGTAGTTGCCATTGATGCGTGGCCTGCGTTCCTCCTTTTGCACTGTTCATCGGTATCTCGATGCCGCCTCAGATGTAGTTTGATTTGGCTTCATGGTCTAATTTGTCATACCGTACACCACTACAGTAATATAATACAGTGCTTTTCGCCTCGCGGATTCATTGATGCCCTTTAACTGCTTAAAAATGAGTATAATTCGAACGGTCTCGATGTGTTTTTATTGTAGTTGCATCGCTACATTTTTGTCTGTTGGTATCGTATGGGTATATTTAACGTTGTCAGTAAACGGAATGTCAAAAATAGGATCGCAGCAAATGCCACAGCATTTCTCAGGAACGAAGTTCAGCAGCTTCCGCTGTTGCAGCTGCTGCCGCGGACACAAGCTCTACCGCCGGCTCGACGCTTGCCGTCGCCACCAAGAGCTCTGTTACGTTCTGTTCGAACAGCGAGTTGAGTCGTGACGAAGAGGACGCTGGCTCGACCACAGAGAAAGAGGTGTCCGGTTGTTCTGTGTCTATGCATGTCTCTATGTGTGCATGTTGTGTTTCCGAGGTGTTACCGCGTAGCGAGGCAGCGAACGGTGTTTTCTTCTGTTCATCTGTCTCGACCGAGGCCGGCAATTATTATTCCAAACGATTTCTGTCTTGTTTTGTCAGACGCTTCGCGCTTCAACGAATCTTGTCCCATTCGTCTCTGTTCTCGTCCTGTCTTCATTCAGCCTTTTTCCAGAAATGAAGTTGACATTTAGCACTGTTTCTGGCCTTTCGAATCTTCCAAATATGGCATTATACGCATTTCCTTACGTGATGCACATTATTTATGTAAAATTGGTTATATGTATGGCAGAAATAACTGAATTTGGTCCATTCCATTAAATGTGATTAAAGAAGGAGGTTTATTCTAGTTTTAAGTCCGTACGATTTATATACATAGATTATATTAACTTCTTTCACAAGTATTACTACTTATCAGGCAGACAAATGCAGTTTGGAATTTTGCCTTTCTTTCTTTAGTACCATCAACTTTTCTCATATGCTTGTATGTTCACGTTCATTTATTAGTGTTGTGTTGTACGTTTGTTATGTGTTGATCAAGCGATTCCAGTGGCAATCCGGAAAGCGACTAACTTTCTGAATTAAAAAATTCCCTCCGTCAGCCGCCGTCGCTGCTCTCTTCGTAAATACCCTAGTTTTTAATTATTTTTGTCTTAGGATGTTGCTTTCGACGCTGGCGGTTCCGCGCCTACACCGACCATGGAGTCGAGTGCCGGGCGTAGCGACATCACTCGAAAACCGAGCAGGTAATTTTGGTGACTTGCAATAAATATCACTTGCATTTGTAATCGCTCATTATAATTATTGGATGATTTATATGTTTTTTATTATTACGATATATACTTCACACGATTTACTACATGTATTATCGAATTTTATTGCAGTATTTCGAAAATATTAGAAGGAGTGGTCAGCTCTCAAGGTTCATCAGGAATTATCGAATGTCTCTGGAAAGTTTTCGATGCCCTTTTTAAGTTCAAGCGTATGTTGTTCTCTTGTGTTGTTTGTTGTATTTACTGAACAGATCAGCAGGTGTAGCATAACAGCGGAAAAAGCGCGTTGAGAATATTCGATAGAAATTACTTGCTTGTTCGCACTGTACATCACTGTGGTAATTTCTTCGCATGCTTACGTCGAACTGGTACTCCAATTCACTTCAGTTCGATGTCGCGCTTCGTGAAGGCTGCATTTTACAAGTGCTTCCATTAATCAACTGAACCAACATCTTTCGTGGTCGTTGAAGCTTATTAATCATTTCACCAATTCATAGTTGTGGCACAAGAAAGAAAAACTTGCATTCAGTCTAGCGGTTATTAGGTAATGCTATTTTCATTGCCAAATACGTTCTTCTGTTGATTTTGTTGATGTTCTTTGACATTTGTTTATTCAAGAATTTGCTGTTGAATGAGGTCCACTGGTTCCCATTCGGTACTACTTTCGTGGGATGATTTTGTATCTAAACAGGAAATGGTGCATCATCCTCAGGTTGCATGGAGTTGTCGTTGGATTTTACGGTTGCCATAACCGTTAGTAAACCATGCCAAACAGACAAAAAGACCTGATGTTCAAAATGACCAATTTTCTGCTGAAATTAGCTCTTGTTTAAAATTGGAAATCTGTGACTAACAGTATAAATTCATTGCACTCGCTTGATACCCATCGTGGGCAACACAGACCACTGGTCATTTTTTGAAACAATCCTTTCAGCAGTCTTGCCACAAGCATGTATGTTACTTTAGCCACACACACGCTTTAAGTTAGCGTTCCAGTGCAACTGATCCATATCCGTATCCTTCCAACTGTTGCACCTGAGCATTTCCTATGCTTAAGTGACATGAAACCGCGACCTGCTTTTAAACCATATCTCGTTGGGTGTGTAAAATTTACAGGTGGTGCAACATTCCCCTGTGTAATGTCAGGCATCGTAATTCACTCGCGCTACCGAAGGTAATTGTTGTAAACAGAAATGCAAAAGAATGCAGGTTTGTGACATTCTTCTCATAACCGCTGTAGGCAACACAACCGACGTTATACAGAATGCTTTAGTTCTGGTCAGTCCCTAGAACCCCTATGTATCATGGAGCCTCTCTCTATTTTTGTCAGACTAAATGAGTTAATAAAACCTTATAACGATATTGTAGACTCATTCGGCAATACTGCAAACGAACGTTGACTGTTACTGGCCCCAATAATAATTCCAGCGGGCTCTGTCATGTTTTGCATTAAGCCTTTCTTTCAAGATGCCTAGATTATTTAAACTTATATAAATATGCACGTTTTATAATTTAAACGTTTGTACGTTGTAAATGTTGATGAATGTTTACCGGTTAAAGGTGTTTTGTTTGTGTTCACGCTGTTCGATGCCGCAAGTAGCGCCGTTGCAGTACAAGTACTGGAATACTCTTCATCTTAGCCTGCTGAAATTAGCTCCTGTGCCTATTGAAGAAATTTTGAATGTAATACTAGCTGAAAACCTAGAGAACGAAGCTTTTGATTCTTAAGATAGATCTCCTTTCTGGGGATGATAGTTTACCGCAACTTAACGGGTCGCATTGTAGATTTCGACTTTAATGTTAGTCGGTATTTCACAAAAGGTTCATCGAAAATAGACCGGTATATCTGTTTTTATTATTGTGCACTTTACGCTGGATCGTTACACAAGAGCTGTCGCTGGAAATCGTCACTTCCTTGGTGATTGTCAAACATGGCAGTGGAAATTTGGAGCTGTATAAATTTGATTTTATATTCGCCTTTTGTTGCGCCAACGTATGGACCAAAGTACGTAGTTGTATAAAAGTATAGCATGAAATTATAACGTCGTTTAATGATAATGGTTCAGAATTGTTGTGCACTGAAACGAGATCGAGTACGCTTCTATCTTCACTCAGTTCTTGCATTCAGTTCTGAAATGTAGTTGCTGTATTATCGGCTGTTTTAGGTTTAACAGGTTCGTGAAAAGTGGTACCGAGAACTACATTGTGAACGCATGTAAGATAACGCAGGCGATCAGTCAAAATATCGAGATAATCGTAAGCTTGTTGTCTGTCGTTTTTCAGCTTTATGTATGATCTGTTTTTTTTAGCTGGTGGATAACGAGGTCGAATGGAAGCCGAACCCCTTCCCGTACACATGTCAAATCACTTCGCCACAGAAGGCCAGTAAACTGAAGGGTTTGAAGAGCTTCATGACATATCAGTTGACGCCGTCTTTCAGCGGCATCCAGGTCAGTCGCCGTTACAAACACTTTGACTGGCTGCACGAACAGATGAGTGGCAAGTATTCTGCAATGCTCATCCCGCCGCTTCCTGAAAAGCAGGTTTCTGGTCGATACGAGGAAGAGTTCATCGAGCACCGTATGCACCTGCTTCAGCTGTGGGTGTCCAAGATCTGCGGTCACCCGGTTCTGTCCCAGTGTGAGGCATGGATGCACTTCCTCAGCTGCACGGACGATAAGGTAGGCATCAATTTGAAATTTTTATGTATTCGATGTTTCAATGGCCAATTCGTAACCGAACGTTGAGTATCCTTTAGTTTATAGACAGTTTTAATTCGCAATGCTTAATCTTTACATTGTTTGTGATGTAATATTCGTTAACAAGGCTTTTAGAATGTGGCATAAGAATGTCCATATCAAGGATATTTTAATTACGACTGGCCGAGCGAACCATTGGCCGTTCGTCTTTCACGAGGAAGCAGTGACACAGTGGTAACGCGGTCAAATTCTGTAGGAGTGCGATTCCAACCCCGAGAAAGGAAAGAATTTCTATTATCCGTTTATTCGTCTGAACAAAAAGTTCACCCCACGTTGCTCTGGTACAGCCAACAGTGAAACGGTTAGATGTTTACTTGTAAGCAGCAGGGACATGGTCATGTTTCGGTATATAATTGTATTCAAAAACCTGCTATGATGCAAAAAATAAGTACAGTTCGTTTGTCCGTCGTAGATAATTGTTTCAAAATGCTAGTGTTGCCTAGTATCTGTTGTGGTGACCCTAAACCATAAATTATGCAGCATTTGAATTGTGAATCCATTCGCTGGGACCATGACGGTTGACATAGTCCGCTCGTCCATAAACCTGCCCTAAAATGAATCCATTTCTCTGTATATGGAGGTTAATATTGCGTTCGATTAAAAGATTAATATTAATAATATAAGTATTCTCCTTTCCTTGCACCGATTCAGATACCTCTAGAGCAC